TGCAATCAGAGAGATGGAGCCCTAACTCTCAAGCAAGATCCTTTTGTGAAGTCTCCAAGATGGAGAAGTGGCCAACAATAGAGTCTAGCAGACCCAACCAGGCAATACCAGCAACTGCATCAGATAATCGCAATTTTCTCGACAAATGCTTGGTCGGTAGATTCAATGATTCCTTTCACAATAACCCACATTATGATACCATTCAGAAGTGGTTCTGCAAAAGGTGGAAGATGACAGCAGGCTTAAAGGTTTCTCCGATTTCACACAACCTTTTTCTCTTTGAAATGCCATCACGGCAAGAAGCAGCCAGAGTCAAGGCGGGCGATTGGTTTTGGAATGGCCGGAGACTATCGTTGGACTGGTGGTCTCCACTAGTTGATCTGGACACGAAGGTGCTACCATTGGGAGATCGATGGATCAAAGCCTTCGGAATCCCATTACATGCTTGGTCTAAAAGTTCATTCCAAAAGATCGGCGAACTATGTGGTGGTTATGTTGATATTGATGAAGACACAAAGAAAAGATCCAATTTACTTTGGGCGAGAATCTGTATCAAGGACAAAAACAGAAACCTACCATGTAAATTGGAGTTAAAAGTTGCTGATTTAAGCTATGAAATTTGGGTGATTCCTGATGCTCACACAAAAATATGGGACGCCGGTGAAGAAGCTGACCGGAAAGGAAAAAGGAAGGTCGGTGAAGAAGAGGCGGGGTTTTCAAGGAAAGCAGAAGTCAACACAGTGGTCAGACCTCTGGCACAGCACGTGCCCTTGACAGTTGATTCAAATTTGCCAGCTAATCAAATAGTGGGGCCAAACCCTAATATCAATGGAATAAGAAAAAGGGCTGACTTTAACTCTAAAGCTGGGCTATCAGGAAATAAAGGTAAGGCTTTTTTCAAAAGAGGCCCAAATCAGGATAAAAGAAATAATAAGAGGAAAAATACTTGGACACCCAGGGCCCAGGATCCTTGTATTTTTAACTCACGATGTTCTCCTGCTCGGGAGTTTCTAGACCCGATTACCTTTGAACTACAAGCCTTAGAACGACAGCGAGTGGTGTTCGATAATGAGGACTTTGATTGCCATAGCAACTGTGAAGCGGATGACGAAGGCGACAAGGGGAGTACTTATTCTTTATCTTTGCACGACTTTCAAGATCAATCTCTTGAAATTCCAAAGCAAATTACATGTCTAATTGATGCTGCTACCGACTCAGATCAGTCATCCATCTCCCGTAATAATGATCATCTTCTTCTTCCTTGGCATGGTGAAGGTATCCCTGGTCAGCAGGTTATACATACTCCTTCAGTCATCTCTACTTCTAAATGGACAAAGTTAGTCATGGTTAAGGCTTGCAAAGCTTTCGGCGTCAATGCTATCGGATTTGAGCATGAATTACTGGGCATGATTCTCAGAATGGATCAACGAAGACAAGATCAGGCTAAACAGAGGGTTTCATCATCAGAAGGTGACTCGAAGATGAAGAAGAAAAAAGGGGCAACTGAATTAAAAAGGTTATCTTCGGGTTTAATTCAAGATGTTGAACCAATCAAGGCGAGGGGTAGGAGTCACAAAGCACAATCCAGATGAGAATAAAAATTCTCAGTTGGAATGTCAGGGGTCTGAATGACAGTAGGAAGCGGAGTACCATTAAGTCTCTATTAATGAAGTGGAAGGCTGACATAGTTTGTCTTCAAGAAACTAAAATTGAGGATTGGTCACAACAACTAGTCAATTCTCTTTGGGGGAATAGATGGGCCAGCTGGGCAGAATTACAAGCAAACGGTACCAGAGGGGGAATCATAATTTTGTGGGATAAAAGGTTCTGGAAAAGTGTCAACATTGAACCAGGAACCTACTCAGTCTCTGTAATTTTAGAGAGTATCCAGGAACAATTCAGATGGTGCTATACAGGATTGTATGGACCACATACAAACAGCGAAAAGGAGGATCTTTGGTATGAACTAGCCTCGATTAGGGGCACTTGGGATGGTCAATGGGTGTTGGGAGGAGATTTCAATGTGTGCAGATTTGACTACGAAAAATTCAACTGTCATAGAAGGACTAGAGCTATGGAGAACTTCTCAGAAACCATACTAGATTTAGGACTCATGGATTTACCTCTGCGAGGAGCGCAATATACATGGTCAAGAGGAACTGGGCTTTTGCAGGCATCGAGAATTGATAGATTCTTGATCTCATCAGAGTGGAATGACAGTTTTAAGACAATAAAGCAAGTGGCCCTTCCTAGAGTAATATCTGACCACAAACCTTTGATGCTTGAATGTGGGGAATGGGACTCTAGCTCATCCTACTTCAAGTTTGAAAACATGTGGTTACAGGCTGAGGGGTTCCTTGATTTAGTTAAAAACTGGTGGAGTAGCTATGAAGTAGAGGGCAATCCTGATTTCGTTCTAGTACAAAAGTTGAAATATCTAAAAAAGGATATCTCTACTTGGAATAAGGAGGTATTTGGGAAGTTGGAAGAACAAAGAAGCCAGGCTTTGAATGACCTCACTAATCTAGAACAATCTTCTGAAGGCAGAATCCTTTCCGAGGCTGAAAATGCTCAAATGATTAACTTGCAGACACATTTAGAACAATTAGCAAAGATTGAGGAGGTTTCATGGAGACAAAAGTCAAGATGTTTATGGCTTAAGGATGGGGACAGGAACACTAAGTACTTTCAGAGCGTGGCTAATGCTAATAGAAGGTACAATTGTATTGATAAGCTAAAAATAGCGGAGCATGTAATTGAGGATAAAAGAGAGATCAAGGAGGAAATTTTGAGCTACTATCAGCATCTGTATACAGAAAATGAACCATGGAGACCATCGGCTAGATTTGAGAATTTAGCTAGAATCTCTGAAGCAGAAAGTACTTGGCTGGAAAGGGAGTTTGAAGAGGAAGAGATCTTCTCAGTTATTAAAAGTTGTGCTCCTGATAAGGCTCCGGGGCCGGATGGTTTTACCATGGCATTTTTCCAACATGCCTGGGAGATTATCAAGTACGAGATCATCAAAGCTTTGAGACACTACCACCAACACTGCCACATGGTCAAATCTGTAAATGCCACTTTCATATCCTTGATTCCAAAAAAGAAAGGGGCAATTGAGCTCAGAGATTATAGACCAATCAGCCTTATTAGCAGCATTTACAAGATAACATCAAAGCTTCTGGCAAACAGGCTCAAAACAGTGATTGGAAAATTGGTTTCTGGAAGCCAAAATGCATTTGTTCGAGGAAGGCAAATATCAGATGCAGCCCTCATTGCTAATGAAGCTCTAGATTGGAAAATAAAGAGTGGAGAACCAGGGTTGCTAGTGAAGCTAGACATTGAGAAAGCTTTTGACAAAGTAAGCTGGTCATACTTACTTACTATCCTGAGGCAAATGGGGTTTGGTGAAAGATGGAAAAGATGGATGAAATTCAGTATCACAACAGTCAAGTATTCTATCTTGGTGAATAGATCACCTGTGGGTTTCTTCCCTCCCCAAAGAGGGATTAGACAGGGTGATCCTATTTCACCATTCTTATTCATCTTGGCAATGGAAGGCCTCAGCAAAATGATTCAGAAAGCAAGTTCTTTGCATTGGATTGAGCCATTTAAGATAGGAAGAGATCCGACATCTCAAGCTAATGTATCGCATCTGCTCTATGCAGATGATACATTGATTTTCTGTGGTGCTGAAAGATCACAAGTGATGCAGCTTAATCTAACTTTGTTTATTTTTGAAGCTATTTCAGGTTTACACATGTGAATATGCAAAAGAGCACTATCTACCCAGTTAATGAAGTTTTAAATCTGGAGGAGCTGGCTGATATCATGGGCTGCAACATTGGCTCATTTCCTTCCACTTATTTGGGTCTTCCTTTGGGTGCTCAGCATAAATCCACTGAAATTTGGACAGGGGTTATTGGAAAGTTTGAGAAGAGGTTGGCAACATGGCAAATGCAATACCTCTCCTTTGGTGGTAGAGTAACACTTATCAATAGTGTTCTAGACAGTTTACCTACTTATTACATGGCCTTGCTCCCAATGCCAAGTGAGGTTATAGAACAGATTGACAAGATAAGAAGGGACTTCCTCTGGAAAGGCAACAGGGAGAAACACAAATTTCATCTCATCGAATGGGAGAAGGTCACACAACCCAACCTGGAGCATTATGTTTAGAAGGAATATGCAGGATTGGGAGTTTAATGACCTGATCAAACTACTACAGACTCTACAGAGTTTCTCTCTCAACACTCAGGCAACAGATCAGTTCAAATGGGGTACTACAGGAGACGGGAATTACACAGTGAGTGCAGCCTACAAGCAGTCAAGAGCATTTAATGCAGTCACTGACCACTGGCCATGGAAATTAATTTGGAAAATCAAGCTACCGCCCAAGATCGTCTGTTTTTGCTGGACTGCACTATATGAAGCATGCCTAACTCAAGACAACCTCTATAAAAGGAAACGCATCATTGTGAATGGATGCTACTTATGTCAGAAAGCAGCAGAGAGCAATAGGCACCTTTTTCTGCATTGTACTGTTACAACAAAACTGTGGAACATGTTTTACTCTCTTTTTGGACTCAGTTGGGTCATGCCACATAGTATCAAAGAAGCTTATGAGAGTTGGTGTTGCTGGAAAGTTGACAGCACCATCAAACAGACTTGGAAGATGATACCTGCAGCAATTTTTTGGAGTATTTGGAGGGAAAGGAACAGAAGATGTTTTGAAGGTCTATCAACTCCTTTACATTCTCTCAAAGCGGAATGCCTTATGTGTCTGTACAGTTGGGTTAATTTGTCCTATGTAGATTCCCTGGATAGTTTTTCAAATTTTGTTGGCTCCTTAGTTTTAGCATAATTGTACTTGAGCCAGCAAACCAACTGTTTTTGCTTCTACTTTTGTAACTAATTTGCATCTTCTTGATGCCTTCAATGGAACATTTACTTCATCAAAAAAACATTGTGCTATATTTACTTATGTATTACTTTGTGTTCAGGGTTTTTGATTTGTCTTCGGCCCTTGGCCAGCCAGAGCAGGAGTATTATCTACAGCCCGTGGAGCCTGGCAGTTCGCACAATGCTACAGCAATCTGCCCTGTCGATTTTTCTTTTGGGGGTGATCATATGTGGGACAGGTTCAGTGTAAGTTCTATTCTTATTTTTGCAACTGGTAACAGTGTATATGTATATATAAATCATGATCAAAACAGTACATGGGTTGTACTAAAATCATATATTCAAGAGAGCTTACAAAATTCTACTGTCCTATGATTAAATTGAATCTAAAACATCAATCATAGAAGCAGTTCCATTTTACGATATCTGATTACACCAAAAATGTAGGATGAAGACTGAATTCAACTTGATTTTCTGCATATTATTCTCCACATTCTTAAAACATCTAGAGTTTCTCTCCTTCCAGATTGGTGGTCCACCAGATGCAAGCAGGGACAGTTCTCCATCTACTTCTGTCTTTTGCTTGCACCTACTTCCTGCCAGCTCTTGAGTGCCTCTGAAACTTTACCAGGCATAGTCCAAGATATGCCTTAAGGTTTAAAAATATTCTCCAAATCTGTCCTGTAACATTGCAATGTAGAAATAGAGGATTAACTGTCTCTGCCTTTTCCCCACAGAAGAAACATCTGGAGCATAAATGGTTCCCTCTTCTCATCCAATTGTCCTGTCTAAGGACTGTTTCCTTCGCCAAGACCCACACAAAACAAGCTACTTTGTGTCGTATTTTAGTTTTCCAAATGAGCTTCCAATGCCAGTAGTTGATTTGTTGATTGGAATGGTTCATCATTATGTAAAGTTTCCTAGTTAAAAAAAAAAGGTTCATCATTCTGTAAGCTGCACTAACTTTGAACGAACCATTGTTACTGCCCAGCCACCATAACACATCTTCTCCTATCTGAAGCCCACTAACTACTTCAATTGTGCAAAAAAATTGAGCCATTCTTAGTTTACTCCCTTTGTCCCAATTTATGTGGCACTTTTCGTTTTTC